ACTGACTTCTTTCATGGAGCATCATGTTTTCCAGGTTCATTCATGTTGCAGCAAGTGTCAGCTCTTCACTCCTTTTCATGGCGACATAGTATTCCACTGCATGGATGTGCCACATCTTATTTATCCACGCGTGCTGATTTCAATGCTCCTCACTCATTTCAACTCAGTGAAGCTTCTGCAGATGTGTTACTCTGCAGCGAGATTCATTCTAGGCTCTGGGAGACCTGCGAGGACCATAAACTTCTGCTGTGTCCTGCAAACATTCTTAGGGAAGGTTTAACAGTCTTTTCATCTCAGACTTACGGTTCAACAGCAAAGGCTTTAAAAGCAGTCTATGGAGTTAAAACCATTTTCACCATTTGGCTCTGTGGACTGGCCCAGGGAGAAACCTTTCTGATATTCTGGGCCAAGCTGAGAAAAGACAGCAGCAAGGATGACCGAACGGATTTTTCCTATTTAGCAAAAAGCACACCCACCAAAGAAAAACCACTAAACACGGCTTTGATTGGGAAGGCAGCCTTCAATGAATGACATCATTCCAAGAACATAAATCTTAGTTTGTATGATTTATTTATGTTAAAAAATCCACATATGATGCTGGGTTTTCAATGGCTTTGTTTAAGTGATAGTTTTTCCTTTTTAGTGAAAGTTGGAGCGATGATAAACAGCTCCAGCTGTAAAAATGAAAGGCGGAGGTGAAGCTGAGGTGATTATTACAGAAAAATGCTGAGTGGGGAGGGGTATTTGGCCCTTCCATCCTCTAAAATGAAAATTACCCTCTGCCACAGTGTGCCATGAACAATTACCTGCTGTTTATTAATTAACCTCTTTTAAAAGCACCACATTTCTACAAGAAACTGTTATTTCTCTAATGTGAAAACTGGCTTATTCGTGTTTATTAGAACAACTATGTCCCATGTGGTCCAGGCTTAGTGCACACTTAACTGACACGCATTTTTTTTAGTGGCACATTTGATGATTGGAAATACCTTCCTAGAAGAAGCCCAGACACTCAGCACGACTTGCTTGGCGTGTTAGTCCTAAACTGAGCCCCTAAAGCCCCTGGCTGGAGCATGGGGCCTCTCCCTGACAGCAGCAGCCACAGCACAGCCCTGGAGAGCTGCTCCAAGAGTGGGTGCTGGGAAGGAAGGGGGCTCAGGACTTACCAGTGAGAGGCAGACTCAGGAAATACAGACTCCAGTGCCTGAGTCTTCCTGGACCCTGGCAAATAAGTGTATTGGTCATTGTCAGAAGGACACGGGTGACCAATAGGCCAGAGCGCCCTCTGGGTGGCATCGCTGTAGTGGGGCTCTTGTGGTGCTCACACTCCCAGCACCATAAGAGCCCCAGGAAAGGGTCCCAGGCAGAGATCTCTTCTCAGAGGCACCTCTGCCACCCTGCACACCCCGGAGAGCTCTATCCCTGCAGTGTAAGTCACCTGGGGCTTTGTGGTCAGGGAGCTCTTCCTCTGAGTACTGCTTCTGCCTCTAAGGACAGGTCCTTGCCTAGGTTGCTCAAGTCTCTGAGCATCAGTCTTCCCATCTGTAAGGTGGGCACAATCACAGCAGCCACCTCACAGAACTGGGAAGGCCACACAGCCCACAGTTGCAGCCCAGGGGTGGGAAGCGAGCAGCACAACGCCTAGCACCCTGCCTGGTGCAGCACTCAGGCCAGGGAGCCTGTGGGTGGACCAGCTTCTCTCCTAGAACTCTTGCTCTGCCAGGGTCCCCACCCCTGCTCTCCATCCTGCTGGGGACCCCAGAACAAGCCAGCTTCCTTTTCCAAACACAGTGCAAGCGACCTGGGCAGCTCCTCACTGCTGTGTCCTCGTCATATGGTGCTGGCATTGGCTAACTGAACATAGGACAGCCCTCTGAGACCTGATGGATTATGGAGGTTACAGAGGGGTGTCTCGGCCTCAGGCACTCAGTACAGTCCCTGCCCCAGGCTGCTGCCTCCACACCATGACGTCCTCATTTCCCTGGGTCTTCCCCTGGGCTGAAACCGCCTGTGGAAAACCCAGGGAAACCTACTCGTTCAGCTCTCTCCAATCACTCAGTTATGACTCATCCATTCTTTCATTGAGGACAGAGCACAGCCCAGCCTTGGGTCAGGTGCTGGAGCTTTGGGTAAAATGCCTTGGAAGTTCCAGGTCTGAAGGAGGAGACACCCTCCTGTAGAACTGATGGAGGAGACACCCTAACTCATATCATAGACTCGAAGCTCCAGGAGCACTGAGCCTTGCAGCGCCTCCTGCGTGAGGGAAGGAAGGAATGAGTGAATGGAAGGGAAGTGTGGGCTTCAGTTGCCAGGAGACCAGCTGGCCCTGAGACACCTCCACCCGACTGGCAGCACCAGGGCAGGACAAGGTCAGGAGGGCGGGGCTTGACTGAGAGCTCAGGGGCCCCTGAGCCAGTTAAGGCCTTCGTGGATGAGTGGAGCAGGTGGCTCTTAGGGCACCTATCCTCACTCCTGGCCCCAGCTTGCCCTCTCTGTGTCCAGCCAGGAGGTGGTTACCTTCTAGGGCTCCAGTTCAGAGCCTCTGGGAGTAGCCCTGGGTTGTGGGAGAGGAAGTGCAAGAGGGCAGGTGGGAGGAAGAAAGGCTCCCTGACTCTCCAACAACCTGCAAGGCTCCAGGAACTGCAAGCCACTCACCTGGGTGCAGCCGCCCCACGACGGGGCCAGGCTCTGCCGCCACTTGTTGTACCTTGGGGAATTGGACTCCCAGGAAGCTGGAGGGGCTGCTCAAGGGTCCCAGGAGACAGGAGGCAGAAGCTGAGCTTGAGTTCCTCCTGTCTCCCCGCTCCCCCAGCTGTCTATGGGCCCTGGGGTCCCAGCAATGAAGGGTGGAGAGAGGAGGGAGGCTGATGGTGTGGGAGGGGTGGATCACTCTGTCTCACCTCGGTAGAAGCCCTCCCCTCTTCCCTTCTGCAGCCTATGGGAGCTGCCCTGGGTGTTCCCCTTGTAATTCCACTGAAGTCATGGGGGAGGGGCTGCTGAAGGCTGGACCTGCCCTCTTCACCCAGGGCAGGCCCCACCTAGGTCCTCAAACAGGTGACCTGTGGGGGCTGCAGGGGGCATATTGTGCACACAGGGGTGTCCCTGCCACTCAGGGCCCCTGCCTTGGTGAGGAGGCCCAGGGACACAAAGTGTGGGGGTGAGGGCGCCCCACAGCGCAGCACCGGGTGAGGAGACCAGAGTTCCTGAGTTACCTGTGCCTGGCTGCTCTCTCCAGCCCCGGGGGCATGGACGCCGGCAGCGTTCTGGCGGCGGGGGCAGGCAGCCCTTTCCCAGGAGGACGCCCGAGTGATTCCATCACCTTCGGGTCACTCTACAGAATTGGTCATTTTTTCCCTGCCTGGGGCGATCCTGGTGTCTGCTCTATTCTTGCCGGCTCTTTGAGCTGTATCTCGACCGCCACCACCACTACAGTTACTGGTTTAGTAGAAAGCAAAGCTCGCAGGGGTAGACCCTTGGGTGTCCCTCCGGCCACCGCACTCTGCTCCCGTCCTTCCCCGTAGGTCCTGCCCCAGGAGGTGGGAGGCCCAGAGGCGAGAAGGTATGCTCAGACCACGGCCCCCTGCTTCCCCCACCCCACCTCCTCCTTCTACACCTAGAAAGGTAGTTTGTGTCAGATCCAGAAGCCTCAGCTCCCCAGGCCATGCTGCGGGGCCCCGCCCAGATGTGTGGGAACGCGGCCCGCGGGTACTAAAAGACCTACGTCCTTGGAAGTGGGTACGGGGATGGCGTATTCCCTCCCGCGAGGTTCGTTGTATCTAGGGGGGCCTGGGTCTCCAGTCCTCCCCCACCCGCTTCCCCCGCAGGCCCTGTCCCCCACCCCCAGTAGCCAAAGCGCTCCTGGCAGCCCCTGCCTTCTCCCCCAAATCCCCTCCGCCCTCCGCAGGATTTGGGGTGCTGGATGATGCCATCTCAGGCTCGAGTCTGCGCGAAACCTCCGGGTTTCTGGAGACGCAAAGGGACCTGAGAGGAAAGCCCAGGGCGGGCCAGATTCTGCGGTGGGGGTGGGAGGAGAGCGACCCCGGGGACGGCTGAGCCGGCCCTCGCCCCTCCTCCACCCAGCGGGCGAAGAGAGTTCCGGGAAGGCCGGGGGAAGGGGAGCGAGGGGAGGAGACAGGGACGGACAGGGCCGGCTCCAGAGCCTCCTTGGGGCGATCCCTGCCTCGCAAGCCTTTGACCCCCGCCCAGCAAACGAGGCCCACGGGGTGGGCGACCGTGGGCCTCCACCTGGCGGCTTCCACCCAGCCATTCTCTCCAGCCAGCCCTGCAATAAACTCCCGGAGGAGCACAGGCGCGCCGGGTCCCATTTCACAGACGGGGAAACTGAGGAGTAGAGAAGAAACCCACCGCAGCTCCGTCTCCACGGTTTCACCTGTGGGGTATCAATCTCTCAGGATCAAAGGCAAAATTTGGTTTTCAAGCTAAGAGGGCCGGCAGTGTGGGGCAGGGCGCTCTGCGGAGAGACGGCCGGAGGGGGCCTTGCAAGCCGAATATGGATTCTGGCGCAAGCCGATGCGGGGAACCGGCTTGGTCACCCGGCCGCCGGCCCGTGTCCCGGGCTCTGGGCGTTTGGGGACGCGGAAGGCGGACTCCCACCTGGCGACTCCCGGAATGCGGCCATCAGGCCCGGAAGGCTACGAGACTCGCCATTTTCGTTGCTGCCAGGGCCCCGCCCGCGCGCGGCCGAACTGGGATCTGAAGGCAGAGGCAGCGTCTACGCGAGCAGCGTTCTGGAGCGGTCCCTCTGCCACCTTTCCGCGCGCAGTTCCGCGCGAGCCGCAGGACGCGGGCGCTGTGGGTAACGAAGTTGCTGCCGGTGTGCGCAGACCGGCGGCCCCGGGGTTGCGGCGGCAGGAAGGGACCGCCACTCCACGGCTGCGGGTACGCGTGAACACACGGCTGAAGGTCACACGCAGCGCATCCAGGCAACGACATTCGTTGGCGGATTTTTAAAGGTTCTGAGATCAAGAGGGAAAGCGTGGGAAACCGATTCCGTTTATTGCTCCCAGCGGCGGGGGAGCTCCCGGTTGCAGACACCCAGCGGCTCGACCACTACAGCGTCCCGGCCCAGTAAGGGCCGCACACGAGTAGGAGTCGTTGGGGCCTTCCTGCACCTTCTCAGTGAGCCCGGTTGGGCCTGGATTAGGCTCCCTCCTGGGCCCAACGGGAGGAGATCAAGGGAGTTCAGGTTCACAGTCTCAATCTCTTAAAACAAAACAAAACAAAAAACTCCGAATTGGGCCGTTGAAGTGCCCATGGGGCATCCAGATACTCCTGACATCTGCGCAGGACAGCGGGGCACCCTGGTGGGGATGCCAGGACACAACGCCGGGCAGAGGGGTTCCACTGGGATGGCCACAGCATCGTGCCTGCTGATGGCAAGCCGGTCCCCGGAAGCTGCCCATCTGCAAGGGACAAGGATCCTCTTGCAATCAAAATAAGTCAGTTTCCACACATCTGGGGTTTGTTCGAAATCAGCGACGTGGCTCACATTCCTGGGAAGTCCACTCCTCCCAGCTACCCACTCTGGGACCTGGAATCGGGAATCGGCTTTGGGAGGTCCCTACATTTGAGCAGTGCAGGGAACGGAACCTTGCCACCACTGGGCCAGAACTGGGACCTGTGTCGTGTCCTCTCCAAGTATTCCAGGGCACAGGAAGGCTTCCCAGGCCTTGGGTGAGAAGAAGGTTCAAAGGGACCCAGAAATATTGACCCCAGAGTCTGGGGGGGATTCCTATGGCCCCAGTGTGCAGCTGAGGCACAATGCTGGAGGAAGCACCCACTTCGGGTCATTTCAGAGGCCTGAATAGGGAAGAAATGGCCTTTTCGATGACTTGTGTCTCCCACCCACCCCCACCATTCTAGACCAAACGCAGGCTCCTTCCAGCTTTCAGCCCCCATTGGGACCCTGCGAGGTACGGGGTCCAAGCAGCCCTCCTCCATGTTCCCCTCTGTCCAGTGGGAGCCAAGTCAGCCATCCCCAAGGGCCCCTGTGGTCTCCTGCCTCCTGCTGCTCAAGTCTGGGAGACTTTCCCACCAAGTGTGGGGCAGGAGAACATGCCCAGAGAGTGAGAGCCTCATCCTGGCCTGACTCAGTGGCCCAGATATTGGGGGTGGGGTGAGTGCTGGCGGTCTGGATCCCACCTGGGGCATTTCCAATGTCCCAGGAAAGCCCCTTGGTAAACCAGAGGCTATGTGTTTCCTTGCTACCTGGAGGAACAAGGTGGGGGTGTGGAGTGAGTAAAACCTTGACTTGGAATTCAATAGAGCCTGAGGCCAAGTATCTGACAACCCATGGCCAAGTTCAAACCCCACAGAGGAGCAGGAGGGAAAGGGGTGAGAACCTGGTGAGGTCAGTCCATCTTGCAAGGTGCCATGCCCACCTCCTGTCCTGCACACCTCCTGTCCTGCACACACAGCCCAAAGCAGGGCTCTCTGGGGCCTGAGGGGCTGGAGGTGGGGGCAGCTGGGGCAGCTATGATCCTGCCAGTTGGCATGGGGCACAAGACCTGGCCAAGCGAAGGGGCCCTCTAGCCCTAGAATGCATTTGTAGATTCAGGGAGTGCAGGGTGGGCCGACATGGTAGTTCTGCTACTCAATGGGCTTCTGGGGAACCCCTGGGGCTTGGGGCCCTCCTACTCGATGTCTAATAAGATGCTTCCTCCAGCGCTGCAGGACCAGCATTTCTGGCTCTCAAGTCTGCCCTTTTCTCTAAGGAATTAACCTGGTCATGGGTCTGCAGCCGCTAGAAACACTGGGAGCCTGCAGGGCTCATGGGGAAATCACGTTTCCATGGACTCCCTCTCTGCCCAGACCCCAGCAGAAGTAGGTGGTTAGCTAACCTCCAAGACCCCAGCTATAAGATTGGTTGTGGAACTCGACAGCAGCGTGCAGTTGTCCAGTGTAGGAGCCTCTTTGTGGTCACCCCACACTCACTGTCCTTGGACAACTCAAGGAGGCCAGTGGGAATGAGTTCACAGCACTCACACTGCCAGCACAGGGGCTCCAGGGCCTGGCGTCAGCCACAAGGCTCTGCAGACCTAGACTTGGTTTGAAAATTGCCCTTAAAAGTTTTAATACCAACCTTTTCCCCACTGGGCCTCCACTTGCCCTACCTGTTCCCCAAGCCCCCCAAAGCCCTTGCCAGACAGGAACACAGACCTGGGCCCCAGGGAGGACCTGCATGTCATCTTCCCTGCTTCACTCTTTTTCCTCATGGGACTCCTCAATCCTGACCTGCACTCCGCTTCTAAGTCTGGCCACGCGGGGGCAGGGCCTGGCCAGGCCAGGATGCAACCCCGGCCAGGGCCCTGGCCTTGGGGACAGCCTGCCTGGGCTTCTCGAGCAGGCTGGGGAGACACTGACCCACCGGAGCCAGGGCTGCATTAGTGCCTTGCGGGTAGGCAGCCCAGCTTCTCCCTGGCCAGGCTTGACCGGCAGCTACCCCTCCCCAGGCAGATCCGTGACCTCATCCCTACCCTACAGCCTGGAGGAGGGCAGGGGCTAGATGGCACAGACCAGCTTGCTCCCATACCTCCTGCCCTTCTTCCCTAGGTGCTGGCAACAGTGCCAGGGATGGCTGTCCTGTCCTAGCCTGGTCAGGGTTCTGAGAATCACCTCCTGAGCTGGAGGAGGAGGCATGGAAAGGACCCGAGAGAGCTGGGGCACCCCTACAAGAAGGCCAGGACTACACAACCTTGGCATCTGTTGGCTACCTCCAGGCCACAGGCAAAGGAGGCCTTTGCTGGGCTGCAGGGTAAGGGTGGAGAAGGGACCCTCTTTGCAGGTGGGAGTGCTTTGCAGGCACTATAGTAACTTCCCCAGGCCTCCTCCCAAACCTGCGGAGGCTTCAGGCAGGAGCAAGGGGGAACTGGGTGCAGAGATACGGGAGTGACCTTGAGTCCTTTCTAGCCAGCAGCTCCAGCCAGGTTGGGCCTACCATCGGGAGTCTGCCCTTGGTAGGGTTGAGGCAGGACAGCGCCTGTGTTCTTGGGCTCCAGCACCTCCCGCCCACTCGGGTGAGCAGGTTCAGAACCGGCCTTGGCCGTCCAGAGCTGCAGCAGTGCCCTAGTCTGCTATGCTGATCAAGACCTCCAGAGCTGGGCCTGTAAACTGAGCTGTTCTGTGCCCCAGCCCCTGTTGAAAGATGGTCAGGGTGTGGGGAGGGTGGGTAAAGGGGTCGATAGACCCTCAGAAGGATGGCAGGGAATGGGGCTGTGCCATTGCTCATGGCCCTTCCCTGGGCAACACTCACCTGGTGCCAGAAACAGCAGAGGTAGCGGCCAGTGAGCGCTTCTTCCATCCAGGGTTCGGGCGGCGAGCTGGCTGCAAGACTGGGCACCCTGGAGCCATGGGAGCCGCATCTGGGTTCGAATCTGAGCAGGGAAGTGGTGCCGACTACGGAGGATCCAAGTCAGAAGGCCCAGCTCACCGCCGCCGCCGGCTCCCGCCCAGCCCCGCTCCGCTGGGCTTTTCCTCTGGGGTAGCGCCGGCCGCACGCCCTTCCCCATCCGGGGCGCCTCTGCTAGGACACCGGGGTCTCGGATTTCTCAGGGCTGCTGCGTTTCACCTCCTTTAACGCGGAGGCGCGGAGTTCCACGTGTGGGTCTCAGTGGAGCCGCCACAGGTCTCATTACACAACAAAGGGCAGGGAGGGCACGGCCAGGAGCCTCGCGGGGCGGCGGAGAGACCCCACATCGCGGGCGCGACCCCTGCCTCGGGCTCAGGCTGACTCTGCGGCAGCTCCAAGTCCCGTTCCCGGGCAGGACCTCGGTGCTCCGGAAGGGTGCGGGGGAGCAACCCGGCCAGGGCAGCGCCTCGGTTTTCTTCCAATTCATTCTCGATTCCCAGATACTCAGATGAGAAATCCGCACTTGGACCGTCAGGTTCCTGGGCCGGGGCCACCCTGCCTGCGCTTAGCCCGGCCCCTCCGCCGCAGCGCCTCGGAGTTTGGGGGCTGCAGGGGAAGAGGAAGCGTCTGGTCGGCTCCTATCCGCGCTGCTCCACCTGCGCCGCCGGCCCTTCCGCCCCCTACGCACCTGGGCCCGGAGAGGCCAGAGGGGAGTGTCCCCAGAGGTCCAGGTCCCCGAAGGTGGCCCAGCTCGGGCGCTCGCGCAGCGGGGTACTCACCTGGGGGGCGCGGCGGCAGGAGGGCGCGGACGGAGAGGTGCGGGCGCCCTGGGACAACCAGCCGAGGACGCCTGGTGTTTGGACGGCCGCCCCCGCGCTGTCCCCCCTTGCGAGGCGTGTTGGCCTCCGCGGCCTCGCGAGGGACCGAGGGCGGTGGGTCCGAGTGCCGCCCGCCGGCCTGGGCAGTGGCGGTGCGCAGAGCTGGCGGCGCCTCCGCTGTTGTTTTTGAGCCGCGAAGCCCGAAGCAGCAGCCGTTGGGTGGGGGCGAAGGGGAGGAGGCGGGGGCCGGGAGGCCCGAGGGGGGCGGCGGGGCCCGGAGGGGCTTCGGAGGTGCCGGGTTCTGGCGCGCGAGCCCCGACGCCCCCTCCAGCGCCCCGCGGGGCGGGGACGGGGGCCGAGGGGAGAGTGCAGGAGAAAAGCGGGCCGGGGCGACTGGGAATGCAAAGCTTTTTAATTAGTAATAAAACGCTGTAAAATGGAGCAAAACCAGCCCGGACCCGCGTCCGAACTATCGGCGCGTGTGCCCCGAGATCCAAGGAAGTCGTGTGGAAACCCGCAGCCGCCGCCCCATCTTCGGCCCCGACTGGGGCGGGAGCAGCAGTGCGACGCGCCGCGACGCAGGGGCAGGGTGGGGGGATAGTCACCTCGCCTCCGGGGCCACCTGGGTCCTTTTAAAGTGTCCGGGGTGCGGGCCCCGGGCGGGAGCGCGGAGCACGGAATGTTTTCTTAAAGGGCCAGTTCCGAGCTGCGCTGAAAAGGGGGGGGAGAGGGGGGAGAGATAAGTGAGACGAAGACCGAGAAGGCCGAGGAGAGCCCCCCAATCCCGCGCCGAGGCGGCGGCGGCGGCGGCGGCGGCGCGACGATGAGGATGATGAATACATTGCAAAGTTTTTTTGGCCCCGGCGAGGGGTGTCAGATTGAGTGCTCTGTGCGCATGTGCGAAGGTGTCCAAACTGACAATGCTGGGGAGATGAAGATAGTGTGTGGCTGCTTCTGGACTCAAGGAGGAGGAGAGAGATTCCGCGAGCCGACACCATGCGATCCAAGGCGAGGGCGAGGAAGCTAGCCAAAAGTAAGTCTCCCGCGCTCGGCCGCGCCGCGCCGCCGGGGCCCGGGCCGCCGGCGCCGGGCGCCCGGGGCAGGTGCCGTCGGGGCGCGCCGGCGCGCCCGCGGCTCCGTTGGCGGCCCCGGGCTCGGCCGCGCGGCCCGGCTGCGCCTCTCGCGCTCGGGCGACCGGGCTCGGCGCGGAGCTCGGGCGCCCGGGCGCGCGCTCCCAAGCGGCGCCCCTCCCCGCGTAACCCCCTTCCCCCCCCACCAGTGTCAGGCGGTCGGGCCCGGGAACCCGAGGCGCGCGGTGGGGGCCGGGGAGGGGGGCGGAGGGGGAGGGCCGGGGGTGGAGGGGAGCGAAAAGTGAAAGTTAGCGAAAAGTTGACGAAAGGGGAGAGCAACTTTTTCCTCCCCGCTCGCTCTCTCCCTCTCTCTCTCCGAGTGGCTCTCAGTCCTGGTCAAATCATATTCCGGGCTTTTGAAATAGTGGGCGCTAGAGCACCGCCTTTGGCGTCCGCCAGCCGGGCGCAGAGGAGGGAGACCCCGAGCCGGGGAGGGGCGGAGGAGGGGGCGCGGGCCGGCGCCCACCCGGCTCCGCGGGCGCAGGGGCAGGGGTAGCAACGGCAGGACAGCCGCAGCCACTTGGGGAGCAAAATGGAGACTTTTGCCCGGGCTGGGAACTGTGGTCGTGAAGTTTATCCCCCGGCGGTGCCCCGCGTGGTGGAGGGCGCTCCTCTGGGACGCCGGCAGCCTGCGCGGGCCGCCCGGGCGACCGTGCCTCCGACAGGAGGGTCCCTACCAGGCGACCTCCCGACCCACCGCTGCCGCCCTCGGGCCCGCGCGGACCCCTCTGTACCCGCTTGCCTGGCACAGCCGGGCCCGGCGGGGACAGAGCTGCCCCGGCCAGACTGCCTGGTCCTCGGTCTTACTTTCTCTTTCGCTCCGTCTCGGCCGAGCCCCGGGCTCCGCGCGCCCCGCCTGCCGCCAGCCGGTCCTTGCCGCGGGCCGGTTGCTCCAGCCACCCGCGCCCTCGCCCGCCACTGCGCCTCCGAGCAGCCCGCGCGCACCCCGCAGCCCCGGGGGCCGGCGCCATCCGCGGTGAGGCCGGCGGGCAGGTGAGGACGGGCGGCGCCGCGGCCCGACCAGCGCGGCTCCCACAGCCCCGCTGAAGCCCCGGCTGCAGCGAAGCGGCCAGTGCCGCGCGGAGCAGAATCGGCGCCGCCTGCTCCCGCCGCCCCCTCCTCTGCAGGCCGCCCGCCCGCCCACCCGCGGAAGAGGCTCCCGGGCCGCTCCCCTCGAGGTCCCCGCCCGACCCACGCCGTTCCGTTCGCGCCTCCGGGGCCAGGTCCCGCCAGGCCGGCCTCGCAGCTCCCGGGGCTGAGCCCCCAAGCGTGAGCCGGGTGGGCGCGGGACTCGCGGCGGCTTTCCGAACTCCGCTCCCTCGACTTGGGACCCGCCCGGCTAGTCCCAACAGCGGCCCGGCGGCCGTAGGCCCCGCGCTCTGTGCGCCAGGGAAAAGCAGCTCCCGAGTTATGCCGGACGCCCCTGCGCCCCGCCGTCAGCCGTTCCCGGCCCCTCGGTGAGGCGCCCCCTTCCCGCCGCGCTCTGCTGCCGGGTGCCCTTGGCCTCGGCCTCTCGTGACCTCTGACCCCTCTTGGTGCGAACAAGGCCGGGCGTTTCGCCGCCGACGCGAAGGGGCTGTCTGTGCGCGGCGTTGCGGGCCCTCCGCGCGTGGGGTGTACGTGTGCGTGTTCGGGTTCGGTTCTGTGTGTGCACCGCGGGCCTGCTCAGAGTCGGGGCCACCGGGCTGCGTGTGGGCCACCAGGTCAGGCCCTAGCCCAGGATGGGCCCGAAGCTGGAGCGAAAAAGGGGAAAGCGGCCGCGCTGACGCCGGGGCCTTCGCTGCAAGCGAGAGGCGGACTCGGCGCACCCGCGCGGCCTCGGAAACTTCCAAGAGGCCCCGGCTCTCCGCTGGCTCCACCTCTGCCAGGTGGGGAAGATGGCCCGGGATAGGGTCCGCTCAAGACCAGAACTGGTGCATGGCAGCCGTCTGGTGGCCTGGCCCGGAGGCCGGAGAGCCGGGCCCAGCGGGAGCGCCGAGCGCTGGCTTCCTTTTCCCGAGAGTCTTTAGTGAGGAAAAACCCCATGAGAGGTGATTGCAAGGCCTCAGCCCTCTGCCCACACTTGGCCGAGCGCTGGGAACCCCTCCTTCCGGGCTCCACAGCTGGGACCGCTTGTCCCCAGGCCCCCCAAGGTGGCTGAGGCAGGTTCGGGATCACACTGCCTGCCCTGAGCAAGGCAGGATCCGCTGAAGAATTTCATTTCATCAGGCGATATTTTAAGCAGATGTGGACTTCCCCAGGGACCACAGTCCATTACCCGAATCAGAGGCGGTAGGGCCAGCACTGCAGCCAGCAGGTCCTCCCCTCCCCACAATGCTGACCAGGTCAGGGGACTGTGGAGTGGGGCAGGGGCAAGGTCATGGTTACCAGGCTGGTATTCAGACTGGGCACAGAACAGCCACCAGGCCGGTGGAGGCGACCCCATGACCCAGCGTTTTGGGGGCCACCGCCGAGTGTGCATCTGGAGGTGTAATCTCGTTTGTGTTTCCCTGGAGACGCCATTCCAAGCCTCCGCTCAGGTGGGTTGCTCCTCCGGGCTGGGTCTGGTGAAGGGCTGAATAGTGGCGGCTCTGGGGGTGACCTGGGCTCCCAGCTGAGCTTTCCAAGGACAGAGGTGGCCACTGGGGCACCCAAGCCGGGGCTGTGGCTGAGCTGACGGGAAACCTACAGCCTCCTCCACCTGAGTCTGGGGGCCAGGAGCAGAGTGAGGACAGTTCGGGGACAGGGTCCCCCTACTGAAGCCAGGGCAGTAGGGCCGGTGGGGAAGGGGCCGCTGTGGCCCCACATCACAAACTCAACGCTTAACAAAAGCTTATTGTTTCTAGGGCTGTTGTGAGCCAGGTGGGCAGGTGGGGGGTTAGCACCACCAAGGTGCCCTCTGAACCACCATCCCCCTCACAGCACAGCTGGGGACCTCTGTGCAGGAGAAGGATGTGCCAGTCGGTGCCCGCATCAGAGCTGCTCCTTGAGGCCTGATCCCCACCTAGGTGGCAGACCCCATGTCCTAGACGCCACATACTCCAGGGCTGGGGGAGTGTCCTCTCCACAAGTGCCATCTAGCCCCTGGGGTAGGGGAGCTGCGGCCCCCGCTAGATGGGAACTGTGTGTGTCCTGCTTGTTTTTGAGGGTGATGTGTGTGGAAGGTATGCTGGAGACAGGGTAGAGGTGAGCGGGGCTGGAGGCCCAACTCACAGCCTCTTTCCTTCTTCCTGCAGAAACAGGCCAGGCTGACTGGACCCTCCCCTCTCCCACCCTCCCTGGGGAAGTTGGCCTCTTCCACCAGTCCCCTCCCCGGAGCCAGGACGGCAGCCTTCCGTCTGGAGGCCGGTTAGGGCAGCAGCGCCAGGACGTCCGGCGGGAGTCCAGCCTCTTGCCCCGCTTCGGACGAAAACATAGAGGCTGCGGTGGAGGGGTGGAGTGCAGGGCTGGCCGCCAGGGCCTGGTGCCCCACGGCAGGGGACTGTGTGTCACCCACAGGCCCTCCCTGTGCCCCTGGCTTCGCAGGTGTGCCATGACTCGGAAGCTGGCAGGAGGGGGCTTGCCAAGCTGGCTTTGGAGCAACTGCTGGGTGGGCTCCTTGGGGACAGGCGCTGGCCATGCCCTAGGCTCGCCAACCACCAGACACCCACTGGGGGCGTCCTGCTTGTCCTGTGAGCGGCTCTTCCAGAGCAGGTGCCGGCCAGACCTCCTGGCCCCTCCTGGCCCTAAGGCTTCCTCCGCTCCCAAGCCCTCCTCTGGGCAGTGCGCAGAGCAGGGGACCAGGGCTGCCGTTTCTGCCGGGAGGCTGTGGGGGAAGGTGGCCCGGCAGCCAGGGGCTCCCCCCACCAGGCCCCTCAAGGGAGGCGAGGCTGGTGGCAGCTCGCTGGGACGCCGTGGGCCCGATTAGCCCCCTGTTTTATTCAATTAGGAGGCAATTAGGGATCCTTGGGGGGCTGGGGCTGGTAATTAAGGTGATGTATAATTAGAGTTTCAACAAAAATTATCCAGGATTAAAAATCTTTTGAATAATTTCGTTTAAAATTTTCAAATAGCGTTAAATACAATTTATCAGGTTTTGAATCAAACCCGTGTAACAAGTCTTGGAAGCTGCAGCTCCCGTCGCCGGCGCGGGAGGACCAGGAGCAGCTCCGGCGACTTGCCCGTGCGGGAAAGAAACTTCGCGAGCGAAGCCAGCTGGCTGGGGCCTCGCCGCGGTGCAGCGGCGGCCGCGGGCTCAGAATCGGGCCGCCGAGGGCTGCAGACGGCGCGGGCCGGGTCGGGGAGCGGGGCCTGGGAGACCCCTGGCCGGCTGGTGGTCTAGGCAGACTTCCCGCTCCCCGCGCACAAAGTCGCGGCCAACTACCGCGGAGCAGCGCCCGCGTCTACACAGCGCAGCCTGGCGCCCCGACCCTGGCCGGGCGGGAGCGGCTCTCTCCCCTTCTAGAGCCCCAGCTTGGACCCGAGGGTCCCCTCCTCCTGGCCTCCCTTGCGGAGGAGGGCAGCCTCCGCGTCCCCAACCGCCGACCCTCGACCTCGTGCGGGACACCGTGGGCGCCAGGCCCCTTTTTGCCTCGGTTCCCTGCGGCATCCCTGACCCGCGCCCCGAGAGACGCGGGAGCGCGCGCCGCCTGAGCTTAAGTAGGGGCTGTAGGGAGAGGGAAGTGCAGAGAAACCGAGGCAGAGGGTGGGGATCCGGCTTTCGAGGGTAGACCCGCCTGCCCAGTCTGATCCGCAGCCCGGGCTCCTGCTGGGCAACCGCGGGAGACTGGTAGGGCTTCCCAGCGTACTTGGAAGACAGGACACCTCCTCCCTTCACTGACCCCGGGAAGACAGAGTGCAGAGGAGCAGGCACCACTTTTGGAAGTGAGAAATCCCAGGCGCAGAGAGGT